AATGCAGTAGGTCTCGTCTGTGTTTTCTACAAGTTGGTGGACAGACAGTGTCGCATTGTAGGGTTCTACCACTGTGTCTGACACCTTGGGGGAGGGGACAACACTGAAGGTGCACATCATTCGGTCTGGGTACTCCTCACGGATCTTGCTGATGAGAAGTGTTCCCATGCCTGAGCCAGTGCCGCCCCCAAGGGAGTGCGTCAGTTGGAAACCCTGGCAAAATAAGTCAAATAGTTTAAAATTCATTAGTTATGCCTTTACAGACAAGTAATTAGTTACATGTGGTTATTATCTCTCTGACCTTTCCGCACCATATTCAAGTGGCAATCAACATTTAATCTTGCCTTATTTATACTATGGAAATTTGAATTGAATAAACACCTGTAAACAATCACAGCTCTCTGCCTCCTTTCGCACAACATCCAAAACAGAATCTATAAGCTCAGCTCCCTCAGTGTAGTGACCCTTAGCCCAGTTGTTCCCAGCTCCACTCTGTCCGAAGACAAAGTTGTCGGGTCTGAAGATCTGACCGAATGGACCAGAGCGGACAGAGTCCATGGTGCCTGGCTCCAGGTCGACCAGTACAGCTCGGGGTACGTATTTGCCTCCGGTGGCTTCATTGTAATAAACGTTGATTCTCTCCAACTGCAAGTCAGAGTCACCATGGTATGTGCCGGTTGGATCAACACCATGCTCGTCAGAGATCACCTCCCAGAACTATTGGGAAAAACAGGAACTCAGTCGTTCAAAGTTAACAATTATTGCCATAAGTCTAGCATAACATCAAAGGAAATTGGAAAACGTGTTACAAATTTATTCCTGGTATTTTGCTGCAATGAAAATGATTCCGCAACATCGCTGCACGACATCCAAATATTAAAGAGCCTTGACCTAGGCGTCGATCCTTTTGCTGTATTTTGCTATCACCCCTAATGGCATCTGCAGAGATAGGCCTACACATATGCAGCTGCGTATTACTCAGTTTCAGACAGTGGCTGTGCCGCCTGTCTCTCTCTGATCTTCGTACCCTGTGGAAATCATGATTTAAAAAAAGCCACACCCAGGCCCAGCTGTGACCCGTGAACCCCAAATTCAAGTTCATTCAGCTTTTTGAGCCACATTTCAAAGCTTCATACACGAGTAACCTGGGTCTATGGTATTTGAATAGGAATGTATATATTGCAGCAATTTAATGACAAAGCCGATAGTGCAGACTTCGTGTAAAATGCATATAAAACGTACGTACACAATCATGATGCAGGTACGTATGACTGGTCCATAACATCACAGATCATGATTCGTGGCTTTTGCAAATTATGACTGAATTCTCCTTCTACATATGCTCTGCTCCAAAAAATGACGTGGTACAATGGCTAAATTTGGGCGGGATTGAGTCCCTGAGGCTTCAACAGACTCCGAGTCCATTTAAATTTTAAAAATCCTCTTACCTTGGCACCAATTTGGTTTCCACACTGACCAGCTTGCAGGTGTACGATCTCACGCATTTTCAGATTAGGAAATTACGCTGGAGTTTTTTTCACACAATATATATGTATATATAGGCCTATCACCAGTTCGTCACAAGACGTGTTCCGATGGATGCAGTGTTATTAATAAGGGAGCGGTCGTTAGGCGAGCAGTTTATGAAATAGTTTCAGACAGTCCTCCGCGAGGAAAAGCAGGGCAGGCCCACAGAAGTTTCCTAGTTTTTGTTTTTAAATCGCTGTTTCTTCCATTGTTTTATTGATACCTGTCAAGAGGATTTGACGACAAAGAACAAAAGTTTGAAAATAATATCTTGTGATATAATTAAAATTCGAAAGCCAACAATTTATTAATCCGCGTTGCTAACTGGTGGTTGAGATGCCTGTTGTGACCATGAATGCGTTCCAGTCCCCTGTCAACAACAATGGAAGATCCTAGCAGAAAACAGTGGCGGTTGTCGGGGTCTCGTCTGCGCTGCCTGAGCAAAAACCGCCGTCATTTCACATCGCCATAGTCACTGATTAGATGTTGTTCCAATATCTTGAATCAGTTTGGACATGGTTACTAGGTGTTCAAAAAGTACAACCGTCTTGTGGACACAGGTAAGAATAACAACCATGAAGTCAAATATTTGTATCAGTATAAACATCAAATGAGGTCGTGTTTACACACGTAATTCCCACCGCATTGTGTCAGAGTCCTGCGGATTTCAACACACTTAAATTTGCATAAATTGTCTGGTATTTGATTGCCTAGTAAAATTCAATTACATATACTTGTCGTGCTGTACGCTCCAAGCTTCTTAAAAGCAACCACATTCCCCTGTCACACCACGGCATTTACCATTGCCTTTTTTCATTATCTTGCATAGGTCAGGTGGGCGGATTATGGTAACTCCCTCCTACAAACACCACATAATCACTCTCCTTCTTGTAAATTCAGCACGAAATTACGCTTCCCCACATGCAGCTTTCAAATCAGCCCATGAAACCTTCAAAGCAAGGTGATGGCCATGCATCTTGGAATAAGGATGCCATCCTGTTGAATTGTGCGACATGTCACACCGACTCAACATTGATAAGCAGTATGCCGAACATTGGACAACCTTCATCAAATCCACACTGAACAATTCAGCATAATGAGGCAGCGTCACTAATAAACACGCAAAATCACTGACCCACAAAATGTTCAGATCTGTAAAAAGACCTAATGATATCTTGACAACATGAGCCATGTAAAAAGCGCTGCTATGGTAACACTGTGGATGAGTGGCATTCGTTGGACAAGTTTGAAAACTGTCCTCTTTCATTCGAAAACTGACAACTGAAAACAAATTGAAGTAAGATATTCCTTCAAATCTATATCAGTGTTGAAGTCACAGGAATGTAACATTTTGTATTAAACCTCCTTTTGCATGAATGCCTGGTTAAATTACAATGTACATGTTAGCACGCATACATCAGGGTTACTGATCAAACGAAAAGTAGTTCCGGCTTCTTTACTGTACCTTATAATTATTGAATGATTCGTTCGCTTTAACATACTCTCTCGTTTTAATGTGGTAGACCTGCGTGTCGACGCGTGTTTTTATCGTAATCTCAAGCCTGGACTGACGAAGCACTTACAGCGTGACAACCTGATTATTATTGATGTGAATGAGGTAAGCGTCGTTTTCTAAAGGCAAAATCCAAAAAAAAAAAAAAAAAAAAATGACTGATTGGTACTCGTATCATATGTTGGCAAACAACCAGTATTAACCAATAAACAAACACGGGGGCGTCTACTGCACCGCCGACTGCTTTTATATTCCTACCCCGAGCTGAATTAAAAGGTGATATTAAATAAATTAAAACATGCATTATATGTGATTGCGTTTCCAAAAACTTCAAAAATCTATAAGTTATAACCACGGGAGTGCACGGTAATACACTCCCATGGTTACACTCTTGTGAAGTTTCTCCCGAGCTTAGATTGGAATTAGGACCGTTGTCCTCATTGAAACTTAGTCAAGGAGACACTTGCACATAATATGATCAATCCGAGGACGGATCCAGAGGCTTTTGTTCGGGGGGTGTCTTTTTGGGGACGGGGAAACTTTGAAATTTTGTTCTTGTAGGCTTTTATGACCCTCCTTAGGGAAAAGAATACATTTGATTTTTTTACATGATTGTAAAGAAAGGGAGATACATGTAAAATAGACCAAACTCATAAATTTACCTTTCTTTCGTCATAAAAAGGCCCCCTTTTTTGGAGGAAGGGGAGGCATGCATGGTCCCCGTTACCTTTCAGGAATACTTAAGGACTTGCCGAAACCATCAAATTACTTCAGTTGTGGTTGTTTTGGAATATTCATATTATTATCAAGCTGTGTCGAGTTGATGACCGCGCGAGCATCTCAGTTGATCCAATAATTGCAGTATTTCAAACGGACACACTTGTTTACAAGAGCGGAGCCGGAGCCCTGTAATTATCGATTAAAAATAATGTAATTACAAAGCAAGTCATCAAGTGATACTCATGACATTTTTATGTCCGGTATTCATGCTTCTGTGTTCACAAAAATTGGCATCGCAAACTATGCCTCCTTAATGTGGCACATAGTTTTTTGTGCAAATAAAGTGAAATACAGACCTGCTCTCTAAAGCATTCTGCAGCCAGCCATAAACATTTGTTTTCAGCGAAGTGCTGAGCTACTTTTGTGGTAACCAATTCTCAGCTGTTTGCCCGGCTTTTTCATCAGAGGAGTACAATTCGCCGATATCAGTAAACATTGTTTTTGAATGAACTTTTACACAATATGGACATGATTTTACTCGGCATCATTTCAACGTATGGTTCCATAAACGAAACAGTGGCAATGGTCATTTGTACTTGTAAGTGATACCCACTGGTCATTAAATCAGGCCTTAATTGAGGTCTTTGCGGCTGAGTTTGATTTTGAATCCATGAATGCTCACGATATGT